CTATGAGACTTAAATTATTTTTGTTATTGCTTATATGGTATAGTGTAGAAAGTTGTTTCATATCGCTTGAATAAAGACTTTTTTTTTTTTATCGATTTACCTTAGTTACAACAGTAATTTTATTTTAAAGTTAGAATTAACTAGTTTATCCTTCCTTTGTGGAGAAGCCATTACTTACAGTTAATTCGCCCTCTGAGAATATAATTGGGTCCATTAATTCATATATAATTATCTCGAAATTCAATTAGAGTTGATTTGTTAATAGAATTCGTTCGAGAAATCAACTTTCAAATGTTAAATTGATTCCATGCCATTAACCGAATAATGATGATATAATATAATGGGCACACGTATTAACAACATAAATCACCACCACGATCCAATGTTATTGTTGTTTTCAACCGATTAAAGAAGGAGGTGATTCTCAATTCGATTGTATTTTTTTTATGTTTGTTACTTCATAAATTTCTCATTTATTTACGATTTGGATAAACCGATTATTTTTTTTTTTCTATCTGAAAGGATACACTTTCAGATTGCCCCATAGAAATTTTAAAATTGACTCATCGAGTCACGATTGTAGTTGATGCTTTGTTGTGGTGTAAAATTTTAAATTATTAATAGTAAATACAGTATAATCTTAAAATGAAGAGATTTTTTTCATGATACTTAGAATGGCAAACAACCCGACGGTTCACCTGATGGAAGGTGGTAACAGTCGTCTATAGACATGAACAGGACCATAATCATTATAGAAAACACTATTATGCCCATGGCAATGCTTATGTGGGGGCTATTCCCGAGGACTACGATTTTAAAGATAGATATAATAATTTTTATAATTATGACACCATTAAGTTAAATAATTTTTATACAAAACATTTACCCCCTTATTCATAATAATGTCAAGTCTCTCATAAATTTATTTAAGCTATTGAAGTGTTCTATCTTTTTCTGTTGTATAAAATTTTTAATTTGAATGAAAGAGACAAAACACTTCAATAGCTAAAATAAGTTTGTAAGAAAGAGGTTTTAGTTTTTATGAATAAGGGAGTTAGAATGTTTTTAGTTATTTAGAATGTCAAGCGAAATACATTGGTTTATATTCAATATCGTTTAAGTACAGCATAGTTTAATTTGTGAGCTGATGACAGCCAGTTGTTCGCGATGGCGATAAATGAACGGTCCCGATTTGGTCATCCCTTAGATATCAGTCTATTAACAGTCACATGCCTTGGTAACCAGTACATATTAACTCCAGCAATTCCTTGTTTCAAAGGACATTTCAAGCAGTCTATTTCAAAATTATAGCTGCGACTAACATTAATCCACGTTGTATTTCGTGATGGATTAAGACTTATAACCAGAGATATGAAGTTAGACGAACTAAGTTTTTAATGTGTTATGTTTTATATTATTTATTGATAGTAAACTCCTTTGTACACTGTCAGACAATCAATCCTTTAACGTTTTTATTCGACTTCCAAAAGGAAGAAATTTTCATCTCTATTTGTTGTGTTTATGTTACGCTATATCTTCGGCAATTCTGAACCGGTATTAATTTCTTTTTTGCAACCATTTACTTCTGTTTCAGTCAAATTTGATTCATTCTTTTAGATTAATTTTCACACCTTTTTTAGTTTTTTTTTTTTTTTATTTTTTTTATATGTACTTTAGAATTTAACATAAAATTTTGTCTTACAAATTACATACATTTGCAGTATATACCCATATTTAAATTTATGCTTGTGCGTGTTTCCTATCTACTTTAAAGAACTTTATCTATGCTTTATATAACTATTAAAAATTAAATGTTAATCTTTTAAAATCTTATTAATCTTACTAATATCGATTCTTAATTTTATTTAAACAAGTATTGAGTAATTTTAGTAAAGTTTGTTTTAACTCCATTTCCTCGATGTATTTAGTTTTCATTAATTTTATTTGTAGATTAGAAACCGATTATTAGTTGTAACATCGCATTATTGGAATATTCAGAAAAGCGTACAGTAATAACAAATCTGAAATTGACTTAAATGAATCATTAAATAGTAAGACTGTGTGTGTGATTTTCTACGAAATTCTGACGCAAGTACGGATTATTTACTTTATACAAACTGTAAATTGTGCCGTTTTGTTTTAAATAGTGCAAACGGTCAAAATTTATGGCTTGTAACGTCTACCGCTTAGTTTGTTGGTAGCTGTAACTAAAAAACAAAATTAAAAGCAAACATGTAGAATTAATTGTTTCAATTAATGAAATTTTACTATCTTACTAATATTATGCATGTAAAATTTCTAAAGATATATGGATATTTGATATTCAAATAAGCTAAACGGACTTTAGTGAGATTTGTCCTACTTGTAGTATTTCTTCATTCGTACAGATACAAAAGTATAAATTCATATACCAATTTTAATTTATTTTGCTTTTTACAGATATAACTATAATTTTATAAGTATTTGTTAAGTTAAAGTTAAATCCGCTTCGTGTTTCAAAAGCAGAAGAGCTATTATTACTGGCCATGGTTATGAGATCGAGTAGTCATTAAATCTGCCTAGCCAACAGATATCTGCTTAAATTTCCGTTCGTTCAACAAAAGACCTTTTTGCGTTAAGTATAAGGATTAACATACATTATGTGTCTGGCAAAGATTAATGCACGACCGATTTGAAAATATAATAATAGTATTATGTAAATCTTCGATTTGAATACGTAGAAATCGCGGTCGACAGGGCTTCGAGAAGCTTAATGTTTATAATATGTACTTACTAAACCTATTATAAATGTAAAAAAATGTAAATATGGATCTGTCTATAATACTTCTATTGCTCAAACTAGAATAAATGAATTGACGTATTTGAAAGTAATTCTAACTAAAAATAATAATAAAATAATGTATCTGACGAGAAAAGACCCAAAAGTTTTAACTTACGACCTTTAGAACCATCAGAATTGTTGTATATGAAAATGAACCAACTACCTACGTAAAGTGATTCCTGGAAATGTGATATTAAAGTGAATTACATAGAAGCCACTTTCACAGAACTGTTTTATGTCAAAATAGTAATTGTCCGCTTGTTAACAAAAACTGGGCTACGTCACAGTGTAATTATGACTGCGCCGTAATGGATTAACTGAATGTACAGTTGTGACATCACAGCTCGTTATGAATTAGACCACAAGGTAGTTCTGGTTAATAAATATTGCGTGAAATTTATTAAAATAACAAATAACTAATGTCACATACTGAGATGAGATTGGGTAAGAATGTAAAGACGTTACATGGTAACTCTTAACTGATTTTAGCGCTATTAAAGTCAGGTAGTTTGTGTTATTATATATTATAAGTATATAATATCTTGAACATAAATACAGATTGCTTGCGGGAAAGAAATCAAAAAGAACTGTTCGAGTTATCTATCGTTTCACAATAGTTTCCATTGTTAATATATGCTCTTGCTTTATTTACTACATAATAACTCGTCTCATCGCATTCATAAACTCTAATTCTAGAGATTCTTGCTTTTATTTATTAGATATATACAAGTAATATAAAATCATGTCTAGATTAATAACTTATGTTAAGATTTCTAATTTACAGAAAATAGCTATGTACATATATAGACAAGCATAATATCGAGTATGACCTTATTACTCCCAAATATTACGTTGTTTTGAATATTCGAAGATTTCTTATTACTTTCCGGCAAGAGAATGTAAACAAGCGAGTCTGTTGTTTGTACAAATATTTTGTTGCTTTAAATGCGATATGTTTTATACTAGATTTGTTTAAAGTCAAAGCCAATTTTCGTATACTTTTTCATGTACCCGTACTTTTTTGCGTTTCGCGAAAATGCGCTCTTCATTTTGCATTTCAAACTTTACGTTTAACGTGTTTTTGTTTTTTAAAGTAAAATATAAATATTTTAATCTATCAAAAACTTAAGTTTCAGTATGTAATGGGTTTAAAGGGAGATATCTCATTGAATGGATTGGACAAAGAAAATCATTATTTCCATTAAGATGTAGGTAATAAAAAAAGTTAATAGAATACAAGTACTAATTTATTTCATGAAAATGTGGAACATTATTTCCCCGAATTATATGAGACATGAGATAATCTAATTAACAAGGTCGTACATTAGGTGTTGCATGCAAAAGTAGGGATCAGGTGTCCCCACACTAATGGACTGCCAAGATAAGCTCGAACTAGCGTTTGTCAAAGCTTTGGCTAAATGTATGTCATAATATATTCTTATTTTAGTACTGGTATTAAGTATTAATATTTTATTAATTTATTGAATTTTCACAAATGATATATATTTAATAAAATATACAGAATAAAATATTCCATCTAAATTCATTCAGTTACATATAAAATATAATAAACCGATAAACTGTACTCACTTTTTAGTTTATAACTTATCATAATTTTTTCTCTGTGCACATTATTGTGACTAACTGGTAACTTTAATCGTTTACATGAATCGTTTTCACGTATATCTGCACTTAGGAAACTTCTATATTGCAGTTCTAAACCACAGATACCACAGCCTTCGCCAGCACACACGTGATAAACATGTGGTCACACCACATTGAGATAGGAATATATATATGTGTTATTAAAATAATATTTTTGTTTTTCAATGACTTAGACTGTATTCACTTTATGATGTAATTAATGATTTCTTTATAATTTATAATATGTACATTTTTTCAATCCTGTTATTATACAAGCCAAGAGCGAAACAAGCATCGTGTCCGATAACAATGAAGTCAAAAGCCTTTTCGCGCAAAATGTTAAGCCAATCAGCATTTGCGCCACAGTCACTGAACTTGTTTAGAACAATACACACGTGCGGGTCAATAGTTTCCTCTTCCGGTTGTTTCGGTTGACCATGATCTCTGCGTTGATTCATGATTTATATGTCGTGTAATGATATATATGTTTGATTCTTTTGATAAATTTAAATATGTTATTTTCTTTTTGTTTCAGGAAATACCGCAAGAACAAAAAATCGTCGATCCCTTGAATCACACACATCACTCCCTAAGACTGAAAACTCACTGCCGTCTTCCAGAGTATCTCCTAAAAACACTTTTAATTTACCATTTGGAATTAAATCGCCGCTTCTCAAATCTTCAACAACTAATACTGTAATTTCAAAGACTAATGAGAGACGGCGTAGTTCCGAGAATGCTGCTAAACCTAGTTGTATACCTTTATCTAAGAAAACTATAGAAAAATCCATTCGCACTTCTGTATCTCCTAATAAACAAGATACAGTAACCACTCAAAAACCTGATAGTAAATTGAAAACTGAATATAATAGAGGCAAGTCTATACGTAGAAGCCCAGAAAAGGCTAAAAGTGACACCGAGAATACTAGTAACGATAGAAGACATCGAGCTCAAAAAGATAGTGAAAGTCTTAGTGAAAAATATCATTATTCAAAGAAAAGACTGACTAGTTTAGAAAATAATTCTCCAAGAGACAAGAATGACACTAGGAACTCACCATCCAAAAATGTATTAAAACAAAATTCACATGTGAATCTTAAAACTGATGCTAGCGCAAAATTAGAAGAAACTAAAGACGCGGGAAAAATGTCTACTCTTCATGAAACTCTTAGACCTCATACAAGTAATTCTAGACTTTCTCAAGAGATGGACAGTTTAGCTGCGTTGACTAAACAAACTTTAGATAGGGTAAACAAATTGTCAAATAATTTAAATAGTAATAAGTTAAATTTAGATGCGTCTGAGCCAAGTTTTGACTCTTTATTTGCACCAAACTCTGATCAAAAAAATAACCACAATATTAATTATGGTCTCAATAATGAAAGACCGATTCAGAACAGAGGAGTATCCGAAAGATTGCAGGATATAGACAGGGCAGCTCAGAGACTAATTGACTTTGAAAAGCAAAGTGCAATGTTTTCTGATCTCAGTGATGATACGTCTAGTCAAAATCGCCGTCTCGATAATTCGTTGACGTCCTGTAGTCATACACCTGTTTCTATATTAAAGAGAAAGTCTATAAATGAAGAAAATGCTATATCTACAGCAAATCAAGCCATAGCTTCACCTCCAGTAACATTTTCCCCAAGCGTTATCGAACCTCGTAGCTGTCGGTTTGAGAATAGACAGCGTCAGGGTATACTAAAGAAACGTCGTAGCTTAGATGAATCTCAAGTTGCTAGAAGGAGGTCATGTAGCCCTGAAGTTTCATTTGCAGATGACGGATCACTAGATACAAATAAACCAATATTAAAAAATAGAAGATCATCCTTAGAGGATGTTGTAAGAAATAGATCGCCCGATGGTCATATTCAGGGCATATTAAAAAGAAAAATGAGTAGGGAAGAAGATCATACAATTGAAGATATATCGCACGGCTCGCCAGAACCTCATGGTATTTTAAAACGTAAATCCAATTCTAGCTCGAGTAGTAGCACCACTTCATCTCACGTCTCCATCGCGCAAGCAGTTCTCTTAGCAGCCGCTGGTGGAGCTGAAATTGTTGACGATGACAAAGAAATTGTGAGACCAATCCTTAAGAAAAAAAGTTTTTCTGAAGAAAGACCATCTCTTGATGTTTTACCGTCTGATACACCGAAACCAATTTTAAAGAAAAAGTCTACAGAGCATGATGATCATGAATTTGATCTTCCTAAGAAACCTATTTTAAAATCATCTAAAAAGCTGTCTGGTGATGAAGGGCATGCTTCTAGTTTCGATTTGAGCGAAGACGACAGAAGCTCTCGAAGACCTTCACTCCTTAGGTCCCGGACATCCGATCAATCCGGATCAGAATGCGAGGCGACAGTTAAGCCTATTTTAAAGCAAAGAGGTTCGAGTCTCACTAGGGAACGTAGCCAATCCCCGCGCCCACGACTCTCGTTTTGTGCGGACAACGATACAAACATTAGTGTGACGAATTTCAGTTGCGACGCGAACGACTTGTTGGCGGCTGGACCGCGACGAGTACTGAATATCGCGCACGAACCGGAAGAAAGCTATCCAAGCGCTGTTCTTAGGAGAAGGAATCTCCGACCAAAATCGAATCCGCGATCTAAAAGTTTAGCATGTGATGTGAATGACGAATTACTTTCGATACTAAATAATAGAAGAATAAAAGTAGACGAAAATTGCGAAAATGGATATTGTGAAACGTGGGAGCTGAAAAATTCTGTGGATACAGAGGACAATAATACAGTTAAAACATTTCCATCAATTGCAGCTCGAATAAAAAGTATGGAACAAGCGCTTACTGATGTAAAAGGAAGAGACATGCCATCAACGTCGAAATCTAAAATTCGTGATAAAGAGCGGTTTAAAACTCAACCTATCACAATTGAAGAAATGCGTTCTGTTACTTCAAGGTGAGTCATATTTTTTTATTATATTTTCTTGTTACTTCATTTTGTATTTTTAATATTTGACCGGTTGCAATTTTTACTTAACATTATAGTCATTATGTATAATTTTTAAAAACTGGCAATTGGTATTATTTATTCCTAAAAATAGATGTCTTCATATATACTATAATACTAAGGAATTTTCGGCTTGATATGCCTATTTCTTATTAGGATGACTACCTTAAATTTGGCGTTTCTCGAGCAAAGGTGATTGTGCTCTTCATACACCCGGTGTGTTAGAAGTCGAATATTGGCTCGTCGCCATTATTTTGATGGGCGGGCGCGCGGTGTGCCCACGCCAAATGTTTTGTTCCGAACTATGTACAATGTAATATCTTGATGTGATATTACTCATTACTGTTATTTCTAGTTTGTTTTTATACAAAGGAAAGCCCTTGATTATTTGAAATATTCAAACTTTGTGATGTATCAAGATTTCTTTAAAAATATATTAAAGAGCATTATTGTAGTCAATCAATATTGAAATGAGCTGCCTGTTCTACATTTGTTTAGGAATTGAGTTTTATTTATTGTAAGATTAATCCTATAGTACCGATGAAACCTCCAAACGATTTTTAATTAGCAATACACGTAGTTGGTAAACAAAGTTGTGTTAATTTTCGGATGTCTGACATCATCTTGTTCAGTTCACTTGAAGATAACGCCTGTAACGTAGTTGTTCAGTTTATTAAAAAAAAATCTATTGCATTTATTATTTCTTTACTGTTGTGTGTCCTATTATTTACATGTCGCAATATACCGTTTCATTATGGATCGTCCACTTTTAGAATGGTAAGTAATCCGTTACCAGACTTCGTCATATCTGGGTTAGTGTACCGTGCCTTTATTTTGCATTGATGTTGTTTTGTTTACTATTTAGGTCACTGTAAATAATTAAAAGTATTTAAAATTAACGGAATAATTTTTCAATTTTGCATTAAATTTCATATGTAACGTAATAAAGTTTTCGGAAATTGACTTTGAAACGTAGAATAATAAGAGACGAAAAGCGGTGTTTCTTTCGAAGTTCCATATAAAAAATAATTATGTGTACCGCTATTGAAAAGGTTATTTCTGTTTTGTAATTAATATACACATTTTACAATTTTTAGAAAGGAATACTTTTTTGTGTATTAATTTGACTTGATGTTTTTATCAATTATTATTCAGTTTATTTTCATATTTATTATAATGAAGATTAAGGTTTATTTGAAGTATTTGTCGCTAAAAATAAATTATTACATCATATTATTATATGAGCCACGTCTGAAGGCTTTGTGAAAACAAAGGCGGTCTAGAAACTCTTAATATTAGGCAGCGCCATCCTACAATTAATATTACGGAAAAATTTTATATATGCCTGAAATTGTATGTAACTTAACGATAATGCGAGACATATATAACAAATCATCAATCTTACATCTTGCCATCTTTATAGAACCATCGTAGTCTTTTTTTTATTGGTGATAGTATAATGGTAACCCCGCCTGCGTTATCGGTATACACTGTCGGGGCACCAGTGAGTGATGATAAATGATGATGAAGCAGGTCAGTTAGCCCATGGTAAAAAATTCAACAAGAATTAGTCACGATGGTTTTCAGGGGGAACTACGTGGAAGTCGATCTAATAAGATATATTGCTAGCAATAGGGCTGTCAAACTCTATTACAATTCCTTACCCCCAACCATCATAGTCGTAAATAATTATTTAATCTAACTTGCAATAAATTCCTTGCAACTGCACTTGCATTACTGTATTTCGGTTTGAACAGCATGGGGTATGGCAGTAATATTACTGGACACAGAGACATAATACTATAGCCCTAAAAAATGGCAACACATGAAAGACATAATTGAACACCATAGTGAATTTTGTGATGTCTATGGTACTATGTCTATAAGCAACAATTACCACTTACCATCAGGTGAGTTCTTTTTTGAATAAATAATGGAATAGCAACCCTGCCTGCGCCATCGATATGTGCTGGTGGAGCAACAATAAAGGATAATAGGCGAGAATAAAAGCGGGTCATTTGGTCCATTGTTACGAATGTTTCCAGAAGTAACTATGATGGTTTCCAGGGGAAATTATCTGGAGGTCGACCTAATGAGTGTAATTCTATTATTATACCAATTAATTAGTATTATTACTATAGAGTCTATAAATTCTATTACTAATAATCCCTTCCCCCCATCAGGTGGGTCATCGGCTTTTTATTTTAAGTACAATAAATACACAATAATAAAAAATAAATAAACAGTCTTTGGTCGGAAAACGCAGGTGCGGTATTCTGAGGAATTATCATAATATTCTACTTGCCCATATTTCTCCAATATATACAATGCAATATACCAAAGGCTCTTCAAGGATTACTACTGAATGCATTCCGGTATCAGCGATATTTAAATCTACTATTGTCGAGGGGTTTTTAAGTCGTTGCATTAAAGACGGACACATTAGAAAATTAATCAGGATGAAATATTCTGGCAAAAATTTAATGTAGCAACATAAGATCTCCGTTTTAAATATCTTTTGCTCGAAATTCGCAATATTAATTCCAAAATTCGAGCAAATAATTTTGTTCATCAAAAGTTCAGAAATAAATTCAGTTCCATACTCGTAACTAGGTCAGTAACAACATATCGTTATATTTGATATTGTAACCATTTCGTAGTGTAGTAATTGGGATTGGGTAATTAGGTGATTCGAAACCTGTCGGGAAATTAAACATCCAATATAGCAAATAATTATTTCTATCTATCCATTTAAGAGCTGCGCTCTTGTCGGTGGGGCTCTTGCCACTCACTACGATTTTCAGCGAGTCTCTTCACCTCTTGATACGACACGACACCAACTCCTTCCTTGAACTGCCTGATGTAACTATGTCTCGGTCTCCCTCTCCCCCTTCTTCCTTCTATCTTACCTTCTATTATAATGTTCATAAGTTCGTCGTGTCGTATCAAGTGTCCTAACATTTTTTCCCTTCTGTCCTCAATAGTTTTAATAATTTGTCGTTTTGCCTTAAAATAATTATTTACTCTTGTTATATTTGTTTCCTCCCATATTATGTTCTCCCCTTGTGTATGGCCCTGGTTCTTGTATATACGGTTCAGAGATTTAAAAGAGCGACATAAAATATTGTCCTTTTTTCTCTCGATCTTTGTTATTGTTTAGAAATCCTTTTTTAAGCAATTTTTAAAAGCAATTAACGACCTATTACCAATTCGACTATCTATTTTTTATGTATTTGATAATTACTTTTACAAACAATAAGTCTTACTTCCTTGTTGGTCCTATATTTAATTTAACATGATTTTCTTTGCGGAGCAAAAAAATTACTGGTCGTTACGTTTAAAGATACACGATCCTTGTTCTTAATTCCGATATTCAATATAATGTATCTACGAGTTATCGTCGTTCATCGGCTTTTTCACAATAGAAGGAGTTTCTTTGCAATATAAAATGAACTTATCATGTTTCCTTTCTTAATTATTTGCCTCTAATGAAGATTTTGGAGCAATAAACACTTCAAGCTTATACATCTGGTACATAATGTTATCAAATTATTATAACATTGCTATTAATCTAGCAAATAAATATCGACAACATCAACCAGCCTGTATGCCAATCTGAACGGTGTTCATGTCGGAAATACTCCAGTTACTGGGTCAAGCTTTATTTCTGGATCTGTTGTACGCGTACTGGCAGTTTTATGACCGTCTGATCTGCCACTCAAGTTTGAAAACGATGGATTCATTAGGGACTTGATTATGAAACACATTAGAGGCTTTGTTCAAATGTCAAAATGTCCGCATGGCTTTATTTTACGTAATTACAGTTATATACAGGAAACAATTATTTAGTATATATGTAAAAGATTTTTTTATGCAGCTTAAAATGGCAAATAAGCTGATGGCCTCCTGATGCTGATGGAAAATGGTAATTGTTGTCTATAGATATGAACAGTACCATGGACATATCCGAGGAGGCTGTGTCGCCACGATACTTTCCCATTATCTGTACTCGTATCATAACCAGTTTCTAAGGGAGCTGTCGTAAATTTCTCCGAAATCTACTTACATCATTGAGACGAATGAAAATGGTTTCACTGTGTTACTTCCCACGAACGTTTATGTTTCGGAATCAGCATTCAGCTTAGGCTTTTCCAGACATTCTTCACATGTGATGGTAACTGTTTAATATTAGACGAGTGGTATACTTATTTACTAACATGGTAATAAAAAAAGAAGCAAGACGTGTGTAGAGAGTGATGCATGTGTTTTTTACTACTTATTCTATCAGGAAACAGTCGAGAAGATAGACAAATAATGATTACTTTTACATTTTATTTACATAGGATATTTACGCATTGGCTGTTTTATGACCTTGTGAGCTGTCCCTGGGGGAGTCTCAGGGTTGAAGAAAAGGGCGATTACTTTTATGAGTCATAATGTCAGTAGTAGTCTTATCTATGGAATTACACATCGATTGTCATGACTTAAGTAGTAATTGTTTGTTTTCACAAAATATTGAATATTTAACCGATCTTTGTAGTCTTGTCTCTTGGCGCAAAGAATTTACATACCTAGTTCGGGTTTGTTCAGAATTATTTTCCCTAGGGAAGTACGGTCTTATTTTTGTTTTTTCACTCATGAGAATTTTAACATTTTATTGTCACTATTTTGATTATTGATTACTGAAATTAAATAAAATTAAAAATTTACTGATATATGTAAATCCTTACTTAAATTATAAACTTATGTAAATGTGTTTGTTTTGTTACTTTAATGTTTCATACAACCGTTGAACAATTGTTTAAGTCTTAGCTTTTTGTTTACAAAAATCTGAACTCGCTATCAATATTTCCCACACAAAATATCTATAACTATTTATTCATTTATATGATAGTAGAATGTAATTTGTTTATTTACAAGTTAAGGTACATTTTACAGATGTTTTATCAGAATTGAAATTTATGTTTAATTTTATTCTGCCATAATGTAGGTAGGCAAAAATTAAAGGAATAATAATGAGAACTCCTATTTCATATATAAATTATATATTGATTTACGATATTGTTTAGAATAACCATATGGGAGAATGTACTATATATATAATTATATCTGTATGTACTATATTATATATAATATAGTACAGATATAACTGATCGATCGCTTATTATGATCTATTACTATGGAGCTCGAAGTAAATATTTATATTTAGATTATATTGCCGATGGTGTCAAACTTCCATAAAACGATAGATTGGCGACGCCAATACAATCACTCATAGCATAATTCATCGAAAATAATGAAGGCGAACTAAATTTTCAGCCATCTCTTTCTTATACATGAAGGCGTTCTACATTAACGCGTTTCTTTTCTCATTTCGCAGTTTGGAGCCGGGCCAAGTGAGTTTCCAAGCGTTCGGCCCTGCTGGCTGTAGTTTTCCGAGTCGTCCCGTCGAGTCCAGTGTTGCTCCCTCTGACAGGGGCCCCTTTTCGGGGAAACCCGAGAGAGATCCCTTTGCAGACTTCGCAAAGACGTTAGACTCACCTCCGTTTGGCGCCAATTCTTTCACTATTAAAACCCCAATTGTGAATGGGATCCAGAACGGTCCCCATGTCAAGGACGACAGCTTCGGCGAAGCAACTTTTCTAGATTTTGAAAAAGATAAAAATCAAGCAACGTTAGACGAAATAGAGCAAGAAGTAAACAAAGTACGCGTTGCATTGGATGAAGATTGTCGCGCTCTAGATGAAGACGAAAGACAACAAGCCGAAGCAGATAACTGGAGTTTAAATGTGTCCTGTGATAGCGGAGTGTATAATCGTGCTTCATCCAGAGATTCTGGCCCTCATTCCGGTAAGTTATTATGCATATTAAAAGTTATTTACCGACAAACAATCGTAGTTATAGAAGTCGTAAAATTATTTTTATCGATTGACTTAGCTTATATGAAATGTGCGACGCAAACAACGTGCGATTTGTTTGTAGAGTATAATCAAAATATAGCCTGGAGGCGATGTCATAAAATCTTCAGTCATGTGGAAGTAATCAGAGCAGTCGAGTTGCATTAACTCGCGGTTTGTTTATGTTGCCGTTTGGTATATTTAGATTTACTGAAATGTGCCGCTATTCATATTAGGATCGTTTTTAAAATAAACCTTGTCGTAACCTTGTGGATGTCTCATGACATATTTGGGTCAATGTAATCCACGTGGTCTTTGTCAAATCGTTATCTCATTGTTATGACTTTTATAATAATCGTACAGCGATCTCTTGTAATATAACTATTTATGGCGATCATGCCAGTACAAACATTCCGTGTATATCACCTAAAACATTAAAATGTTTGTGTTTAGGATAATAAATCTGAACGTGGTGAGCAATGTGACGCAATGATGTACGATCTGTTTGCCAAGCATGATGTAGTAGTTTCCAATGTATGTTATATTTGTTTCACGACCAGGTGTCTCTTAGATTTTTGTCTCGATGGAGAAAATGTGTTTCAGTTCACAAACTTGTTTTGTTTGTACATTCCCACTTCAGTGATGCCAAAATTTAAGTGGATTCATCGCTGCGGCAATATAGTACAAATTTCAACAACAATAATTATGGATCTTTATAATACGATGACTTGCCAAAATAAGCTAAGATCTATATAGAGCGAATATGTAAAAGTATAAAATTTCTTTTTAATGGATAATAATAGAAACCCTTTTACGCTATCGGTATACACTGGCGGGATACCAGTGAGGGATGATTGGTGAGGATGAAAAGGCAGGTCAGTTAGCCCGTCGTGACAAATTCAACGATAAATTAGTCATGATCGTTTCCAGGGAGAACCACGTGGAGGTTGACCTGATAGGGTATATTGATAGCAATGGAACAATAATCTCTCCATAACAATCTCTTTTCCCCAGTATAAAATATTAACAACAATTATTGTAATTTGGTCAATATTTTCCTCATCCATAATTTACTCGTATTGAAAGTTTCCTTTAAACAATATGCACAAAATCTAGTACCTGATTATAATTAATTGAACTCCAACAAATTTCAGGTGAAGAATTAGGCTTGATAGAGAGCCAAGAAATCAGAGACAATCAAGCTACAAACAGCAGTAGCAACGAGTGGTCGTCATCTTCTATAGAAAGAGGTCTTCTCAAAATGAATCGAGTGAGAAAGCCTTCAGAAACCGAAGTGGTGAGGAGCCCTGAAGACCTGGGAAGCGATGATGATGGAAATACCGAAAATAGTGGCTTCGCATTAGGTTTGGTGAAGAGTAACAGTGTCGTCGCAAGAGCGAGTATGTGGCAGCAGTTACAGCAGCAAGCTAAAGGTAATATTCATCTTTTTATACAACATATGTCGACATTTTTATATTCACACTTACAACTACACATGCATAATCGTGACTGCACATCGCGCTTACGGTCTGTATGATTCTGAGTACTACAGTCAAATGCCTGCTATATCAAACATGCGTATCTGAAATCGAGATCTTTCTCCTTAGGAATTCCTGTAAATTTTTTATATTCAAGTTGCGTCTGCATCCATTGACGACTTTAAGCTTCTTTAGAAAACAAAGCCTTTCCTATCTGTTATAGCTTATGTATAAACTCATTTTCGCTCCTGCTTTTAGCTTATTTTTTACATTATCTTCCTGATCTGCTATATATATCAGTCACGCCTTTGATCTTTCGACTAGTGTGGTAGCCCCTGTAGCTTAGTCGCAGGACTTTCGATTGCAGATTGAAGATCCTAAGATCGAATCCCAGCCTAAACCTCTGAATTTTCAAATTCATATTTATATGATTTTAATGTTTGTTATTTGACTTGTTCTTCTGCATGTGCAAGTTAAGCTATCGGCTGTAACGAATCGTCTCAGACCCTTTGATAGGTATCGGATGTGTTTTTAATTTAGTAATGATTCTACATGCAAGACTTTACTACTCGTATTTCTTAAAATAGCCGATACTGTCGTCATTGGTAGATAATTGACATGTTCTATTTTTGATTTAAATATATTGATGTGTTATTTTTAATATCAATTGCTTGCCACATTTAATTTTGCGTATTGAACATTTTGTGTATGGATTTGTTATAATATCATGGTGGGACATGTACAAGGCTATTTATTAACAATTTATAAGATATTTATTACTGTTTTACTTTTTCATTTAATTAAAATGCATAGCTGCCTGTGTAATGCATACACAGAGAGATAAGCAGATAAGAATTTCTAAAATTGGTCTTTTGATATGTATTTACTCTGCCATTCTAATGAAAAAGTTAAAAGAAAAAATAGATATAAATGCATTTATTTCATCTAGTTGTACAGTTATTCTTTGTACCATAAAAACGAAAGTTGGTATTTTCATATCCGGATAGTTTCTGTATTGAATCGGTCTATTTAGCACTCCATTGTTTCGACTTATTCCTGTAGGAGTCGAGCGTGACGTATATGTTTGTAATTACCTGTTTATAACAGTCTGTTTATATGTAATCTGTAATAACACATAAGCTTTATTTTGTTTTAAATTAGGATATTGTAACACGAAAAAGTCTGCATTTTAACCATTTGCACCTACCCGGGAGTAAACTTGAAAAAGAATTATAAAAATCTGTTCAGAATACAGGCTAATTGAAAATTTCTTCCTTTTAGAATTCGCTTAGTGAATGGATAATACTAAGGTTTTATTTCAAAATGTAAAATTTTTACACAAACAATTGTATTTTCAATATTTCAGGTACACCAAAGCCGCTGATTCGTCATAGTCGTTCCAAAAACAAAGATGCACCATCAGTCGCAGATCGTTTTAAGACCCAGCCCATTTCTTTCTCATCGTCTGATCCCACTGAGCCTTCCAAAGAAGGGTTCTCTCTCGCCCAGTCCAAGAGCACTGCCAATGTTTTGGACAGGGATGAAGATGGTAAGCATTACGAACATAATTTTTTATAAACTGCTATGTTTCTACAAAGTTTTGTCCAAAATTTTAGCATTTTATATTATTATTTTTGTATCCAAAATGTGTAATTATTTGCTAGGTAATGTTCAAATTAGAAGCATGTAAATTTGCATTATCTACCGAAATAGAGAACAAAGGCGCTTCCTGTCTTTTGATTGTCGGCTTTTGTTTCTTTTTTGCATGTCCTCGACTCTACTATGTGTATGTCCCGGTCTCTATCGTAAACACACGCACAATGTTATGTAAATACGCACAAACTCACTGGTGGCAGCTAAACTAGACGAGGACGACCCCGCGAAACTTTCCATTATGGAGAAAATGAAGATGTTTAACGCGAAGTTAACTCATAAACCTCCCGTGGCCGGGTTGCCTCGACCCAAAGAGGAAAGAGTACCAAGAACGTCCAGACTCAGAACCATGCCTGTATTAGCTAGTCAAGTACAAGAGGCTATGGAACAGAATGAGAGACTCACTAAATCTCTGACCCACGAAGAAGTGCCACGTAACCCCGATTTCCAGCTGAAAATGGAACTATTCCGTTCTGCGAGCGCGAAGAATACCTCTCTAGAGTATCTGATGAGGCAGAACGCAAAGTTTAGAAGCTTAGGTCTGGTTTTGTTATTTTTTAAGTTTTGGTTGTCGTTTTGTAAGCTTGAGTCGCTGCTTTTGGTTTCAGCACTAATATTTTCTCCCTAGGTTAGAAGGTAAGATGCATTTCTCCCGTTGCATGGTATATTAACATTGCACGAGGAATATTCGCTATTTCTTTTTCTATAACATGATAGATCTATACTGTATTTAAAATAGTATCGAGAAATAACTAAAAATGTTTTTCTAGAATTAAGTATTGAAGTGAAGGTATTATTTTCATTGTTGATTTATTGCGAGATTGTTGATCGATACATTTTAAGGTCGTCACACACGGGACATATATTTAAATTTATTCGGAGGCTATCTGACAATTTATCACTCATTATTGGAATGACATATGTCATTCCAATAGTTTTCATATTATTATATATACTATTGTCATGTATCTTTTTTTTTTCAGTTAAAATAAAATTAATAAAGTATCTCTAGATTACCAGATAGAATTTTTATTTAAGACTTTTAATATTGAAAATGTATTAAATGTTTGTGTTATAACTTGTGTATATAAGTTGTAACTTCTATAAAATGATATAAATTGAAATGAATATGTTTATAACTACCAAAAATATATATGTAATCATAGTTTCATATATTTTTTATGAACTGATTTACGTAAAATCTTTTTGTAGCTATCTTAGTATCTTGTATGTGACGATCTGTATTTATTTTGTAAACATTTAGAACCAGCAGTAACTAATCATTAATTATTTATTATAACCGTTGAGAACATTCGAGACTGCTTGGATGTACACCATTACTCATCGCATGCACTGGTAATACTGGACCTTAGAAAATGGCACAACATTTCATGTATTAACCACTAGCGGTATTTATTATACAACATTTATTTTGGGTCGGATAGTCATCCGTTTACTCAGAAAGTTAGTCATGTTAAAAGATATTTTGACCGGTCATCGCATCAAATTACTTCTTCCTACGTGTATAAAGGAATATATCAACACCGAAAATAATAATTTTATGCATTTTATATTACTTTTATCTCCGGCAACGCTCAACAGTGATTAATGAAGTTTGGTAATTATGTGTTGTTTGCTACAACTTGAGAAATAATGCCCTTTGCCCCGGCTTCGATTCCGGGGACGATTACCCCTAAGTCACTGGGTCTAAGCACACTTAAGATTTTTTAGACTTATAAAAAATAGCTCCAGTAAATGGCAATACGGGTCATGACATAAATTCTAAAAATATTGCATTCATGAGTTATAATGTTCTTACATAAGTTTACAATGTCTAGCTCCTTACAATATACCCTGTCGACTGTAGCAGTGTTAGATATCTTTGATTAATTATTTATTTTTAATCTAATATTAGGCGTATTAGATTAAAAATAAATAATTCATAAATAAATAATTCAAAAAATTTCGTTCATAGTTTGCTGGGTCAGTTAGTGTCTTTATAGTTTTGGTGGATGTCTTGTCATAATCGTCTACTACGCCGGTATATATCTTCAAAAGACGCTTACATATATTTATAGCTTTTACCCGTGACGTCGTCCGCGTGATTGGGATATATTTACTGACGGGGATAATAAGTAGCATATATTCTTCGCCATTCCATATAGTATATGTATATCAAATTTCATTTTGATTGGTTAAGTCGTCCCACCAAGCGGTATCAAATAAACTTGCTTTCACAGTTATAATATTAGTAAGCAACTATAGAAATATATTTATTTTCGAGATCCATGCGGAATAGTGTATGTAGATACATTAGACAAGTCTAGGCATTAAAATGTAACAAACAAACTCACTTTCACATTTATAATATTAATAAAGATATTTATTCGCTACGTATCATACAATTTTCACGTACTTGTGCAATTGCGTGGAAATGCTTTTATATTTTCGTGCACATTCACGAAAATGCCGAAGCGTTTACATCGGACTCCATATGATTACACTTATTTTGCTTGTCTATTACATTTTAACAATAAAATCGTACGTTATCCTGTTGTACTCTGATAATTTATAAAAGTGTTCAATGCCGCCTTTAACTACCCTATTTGAGATTACAGTCCTTAGTATATTTTTCAGGTAAATAATGTGTAAATATTTTTCCATTTCCTTTCTGTATTCTAGAGAAAAAAATTCTTCATTCCGTTATTAAAGATCACTTCTCATAGAGTGGTGTATCTTATTTTCTCTAAATCAGTTTAGAACTGACAAAGTTTTGAGATAACAAACATAAGTACAACATAATCGACAATCTCCTTCTTTTTGAAGTCGGTTGAAAATACACATTCTGTTACTACAATGTAAATATTATCTACTACTAGCTGACTCGGCAAACGTTGTTTTACCATATACATTATTTCGAGAACTATGCATGATAATTTCTCGTACTACATTTATTATATTCGATTGCCATCTTGCAACTCTATTGTGGCGTATAAAAATCGCGATTAAAAAACAGGGTTGTATATATTTTTCAATGCTAAATCATAACAAAACAATAATAAAAAAAAATATCAAACAAGAAAATATTTAGGGGTGGATCATCCTTATGATTGAAGGGTATGATAAATAGATATTGGCCGATTCTCAGACCTATCCGATATGCACGCAAAATTTCATAAAAATCGGTAAAGTCGTTTCGGAGGAGTTTGGTAACAAATACCGCGACACAAGAATTTTATGTATGTATGATTATATTTTGTTTTCACCTTGCGCTGTGTTCGACAATCAAATTCTATTGCATAAAAAATGTTCTAAATTTTGTTACCTAATCACTATAGTAATTTTGTCCTTCAGGTTCAATGAACCTTATAACTTTGTAATGAAATCAGACATCGCGTGACGTTAGTTCTGGCTCATTTCATTTGTACATATACTCGAGTATCGGCAATCCAATTCATTGTAGTGTAAGGGGAAATTGTATAATTCTTCTTATATCTATTGTATTATACTAATCTATACTCTCTTAGTTTAAAAGTAAAAGTATGTAAAAGCAAATCAGGAGAATTAAAACCTTGCCTTGAAATTACGAATTACGTATTTCTTAAGGCAATAAATAATATTGTCGTACCAATATCTAATATAAAAATGTTGCCAGTAGAAGAAAATACTTCCGAGAGTATTTACAATATGGCAAGGGTTTTTATTTTCTTGGTTATTTATATACAGTTTTCTAAACACTAACGAACGTAATATTTTGTTAACAGTTTTGAAATGCTTACATATAATAAATTATTAAAAAAATAATATTTCGAAAAATAAATAAAGAATTATTTTAGTGCATTAGCAACCTTAAAAGGAGTCAGTTGACAAATTTAAATAATTTTAAGTTTTCCAATGTAACAAGTTGTTTTTTAAACCAGTGTTCGTGTTGTTTTGCCAATGTATTTTGCATGTTTCAGGAGTACTGTATAATTTTGTACTTTTATTAATTATACTGTATTCGATTCCAGACCTCGACGACGATTCGCCGTCAGAGCGAGCACAGAGGATGATCACGCCCGAAGTACGTGGTATATTGAAATCGGGGACCACTGTTGTGCCAACCAAGCCGAAGACCCTGGCGAAGGGCGAGAGCTCTGAGGTGAGATCATCATATATATTTAATTATAGAAGTAGAAAAGAGTTATAGTGTGGTGATTCACATAACCTACACATTACTCTGACTCACTAGTAAAATTCATGCGGTAACGAAAGACATCAAATTTACTTGTCAGTTCTCAATGCTTATTAATATTATTAAATATGAAATATAGTATGTTCTTATCTCTTGACGATTAAATGTCTTGTCACTTAATTTTGTATAATATATCATATAATAAAATAGGTGTTTGATAGTAGTGTATTTAGAAAGAAAGAAAGCTTAAAACTTTTTATTTAGTAGTACTGAAAATGGGTACTTATTATTCAGTTCAATCAGCGTAACCCAGGCACGCAAACGAAGTTGCGGGTAGTAATTAAATAATATTACACAGCGCTATATAACTTTACACATTTACCATGTTTCAGTAACTCGTTATTAATATTTAAAACCAAATTTGAATAAAAAATAATCTATATTTAAGTAACTAATTCGCATAATTATCAACGCATTTTGAGTCACTGTTGAGTTTCCGAACCCTGGTTTCATAAAAAAAAAAATAAAAAAAAAAACTTGTAAACAAATCTATTTGAATAAAAATGTTTTGAATTTGAGTTTGCATCATACAATAGTTTTAGATTTTTACAGGATCAGCATTAGGATCTACACAAAGCGCTTGAATGATTATTTGTTATTTCTAACTCTACAAGACTATAGATACAAAGGACGTAAGCATATCGTTGATGGAAATTAACATGATTGGCTGTATAGATTCGAACATTATTTACAATCTGAGAAATATCACTATATATATATATAGAATAATAATAATTGTAAGTAAATGCCCTCAACGAGGGCCGAGCCCTAGTCTAGTAAGTCGAAGTATTAATTAATTTTCACAATTTATATTATAGATTTTTTTTTTATAATATTGTAATGTTGTCCCAACTAATCTCGAATTGAGACTCAATCATTTCTTGAGACTAAACTCAGATAACAATAATTCATGTTAGACCAGAGTCAATTTACATAAATTTATTATTAAATTGGTATACAAGAATCGAATTTACTTTTATAAACAAATGATATTTATTATATTATATTAATAGTATATGCCAAATTAGATTCTTTTTAATCCTTTTCGTTTTTTCCAGGGCCTTAAAGATGAGGGCATCGACAGCTCATCTGACGACGAATCTGCTTCTGCATCCAGTGTGTCGTCATCAGAGAAGAGCTGCTCCTCTTCAGACAGTTCCGATGAGATTCCAGGACCGAAACCTAGAAGGTTCCAACGTAAAAGCAACAAGCTAAAGTCTTCAAGAACCGATTCAGACCTAACAAGACTACAAGATCGTTACCCTGGCAAGATACAGTTACCAGGAGCGAACGAGTTAAAGGAACGTTTGAATCAAGTGAAGAATCCAGAAATGAAGCCGCTACTCGCAAAGCTGGGAAGGAAACCATCTGAAGAGGCGAAGAAAGAAGACGACAGTACTAGATATAGAAGATTTGTGAAGAAACTTGATGAACCTATACAGCTAGGAAAGTTAAGGAGGCCAGCAGATAAAACGCCTCCTCCACCGCCTCAGATAGAAGAGAAACCACCGCAAGTACTTAAAATATCGGCGATAAATCAAGCGGCTAAGAATAAATTCTTTGGTATAGAAACACCTCCCAAAAAGGAAAGAGACATTGATGAGTTAACGGCGGCTGTTAGGAAATATATTCCACCTGTAAGTATTATGTTTAACGTTTATTTTTCTTTTTCTAAATATGTAATATTTTTTATTAATTGTTTGAAAGAAATTATCATTCCATAGATAGATAAATCTTTAATGGTAACATTTGAGACCAATGCATTTTACTATCTAACAATACATGTAATGGATTTTATTTTCAACCGACTTTAAAAAGAAGGAGTTTCTCAATTCGGTTGTATTTTTTTTAATTTTCATTACCTCGTCAGTTATAAATTGATTTGAGCATCTGTCAGTGAAAATACTTTCATAAAAACAGAAAATCTTGTCAAAGTATTCTATAAACTGAGTATTTATTAAAATGTTATTAGTAAATTGGCTTGCTAAAATTTCTACATTATTGCATGATAAAAGATCTACCAATAGTATCGTGTATCTTGGTAGGGAGAACAAGCTTTCGACATGTATGAAGGTACCGACACTGATCTCTAGTTAAGTTAAATAACCACTAATGTCAGTCTATAAATAATCATAGATTATTTGATAATATTATGATATTTTACATATGTTATTTTGTAAATATAGATTTAATATTATTTTTTACACTCTAACTTTACATTTGAAAATCTTGTCCCCTTATTATAAAAACTAAAACCGCCTACAAACTTTTTTCAACTATTATTTTGATACTATCAGTCCCACGTTGAGAATTTAAGCGATTATGCGAAATACAAAAATACTTCTTAGAATAAATCTTTATTCAAGTAAACTTTTTTTAAGTTCTTTTAAATCGTATTTTTTATGATTTTATTGCTGTATTTGGAATATGTAGAAGTCTTCTTACGTACAAAATAATATAACTAAAATAAACGTTAATATTAGTTAGATTAATAAACACATTTGATGTTATTGTGAATAAAAGGGTTAGAATATAGTTGTATAGTTCTATAGTGAGTCAGACTACTATTTATTTCGGTTTTCTCACGCATTAAATTTTCCTAAAATTGATTGCCTGACTAGTTTTGGACTCGATAGGAGCTCTTATTCATGAGCACGTTTTCACGTTTATTTCGCGAGTAATAATTCGTGTTCAGTGAATAGTTGATCACTGCACTACTATCACCGTCACCTATCACATACGATCCTCTATGGAGTTTGAAATCTTAGCCTTCTCTCTTCCTCTTAGAAAAAGAGAAACAAATCTATTTATGGAATTGTTATCGTTAGGAGTCGCGCAATCGATAGGGTCGTGTGTGTTTTGTTTAATGGGGCATGCTTTGAATTGCGAATATTCAGATTTTTTATTTACTTATTTGCTACAGGTAAGCAAGTCGATATCGACGCATATGCTGGGGATGGTAGCTGGCCCTGGTATAGTGGGGGGTGCTGCCGGTTCTGGCAGCGACGGCGAGAGCAGCGGCGGCCGCGAAGTTCGGCACATCACCTCGCACGCGCGTCCACGTCACAGGTTAGTGTGCATTCGCCCTAATTGAACTTTGCTGTATCTGTTACGTTTATAAGGAGATTAGGTAGATTGGCAGTTCCACTGTATAAATAAATTGCTGCTGCTCCAAACGTGATTCTTTGCATGTGAAAAAACACTAGCTGAAACAACATAAAAAAACTAAACGAGTAGGTAAGCCATAGATAACGGACGTAAATAGATCCCATAAATGCTTATAGGTATTTGCGTGTCTATTTCTGACCCTATATTATGTTCAGTAAAGCTTAATATACTATGGCTAAATTTAAATTAGCAGTACATATGAAACGGTTTGGAGCGGATTTTGTAACAAGTAAATATAACAGTTTATTTGTGACAGTTTTAAACACATAGTTGAAGCCTGTTTATTTGATATCTTAATAATGAATGAATAAATGAAAACTGCTTGTTCCCTTTAAAGAATGATACAAAATACAAAGATTAACATAAACATACAAAGTAAAGTAATTAATTTAATTACAAAAAGCAAGATAAAGAGGCAACAACGGGCGGCCTTATCATAAAATAATGATCTCTTTCAGTCAAACTTAGGATGGAGAGGAATAATTAAATTTGCGTCTGGTCAAGGCTTAACAGTAGAAAAATATTAAGACTAAAAAAGGGGGAAAGACATACATATAATATATAAATTTAAGTCTACCCTCGAGAGAATATGTATAACATGTCATTACTTTTTAAGTTTATGTTTTGTTCTTTTAAAAATATACCTTATGTGTACGAATATATGTACAGAATTGATTTGTTATACAATATTGCTTCTGAAAACCTGATATTATTCTCTTACTACCACTGCAACCCTCTACATTGTGTGTCTGTGAGGTACTTTATTTTATTTTTTATTTTTGTCGCATCTATGAAACAGAGCTTTAAGAGGTAAATGTTTTTTTTTTAATATAATATAAAATGGCAAACAAGCTGACGGCCCACCTGAGAAAAGTGATAACCGTCGCCTTTTTAGACATAGTTTTGTCCCTTTGGAAATATACAGAGTATACAGTTTCACCCATGATACCCCCCATGCGTTGCCATTCCTGAGGACTCGGGTATTATTCCTCTGTAGCCAGTAAATTCACGCCATATCCCATCCTTCAAACCAAAACACAGCCTTGTAAACACAACTGCTTCACGGTTGAAACACGAATGGGACAGAGGTTCCCAAGCAATCGACTTTTGTACAAAGTCTCCCTCATGATACTGTATCACCGTCATATTAGCCGTTAACTGTCCACTGCTGAAAATAGGCCTTTCCTTATTGGGGTTATGCCACTACTTACCATGGTTAGCAGATGGGTTTTAAGAAGAAAGTAAGAAAATGATTTAAAAGAAAGAAATTTTTCGCTTTAGCATCTTATTAATATTATAAATGCGAAAATTTGTAAGGATGCATGGATGCATTTTTGTTTCTCTTTCATGCAAAAATTACTAAATGGATTCGAACGAAATTCGGTACACAGGTAGATTAAACTCTAACTTAGCACATAGGATACTTTGTATACTGTTTCACGCGGGTAAAACCGTGAGATACAGCTAGTCAATTAATACATACAAATGTATATTGCGCAACATGATAACGTTGACAGATACGATATATTTGTCATTAAATGAGATATAGTCATGCCGTTATGAATTAATTACTCCGGCGTTATATTTAATTGCATTAATTATAATATTGTGAATATATTATGTATAAATTAGATAAACGGTTTATCAATGATATTGTTATGTATTTCAACACAGTAGAGATGTGTTGAACACATCTCTACTGTGTTGAAATACATAACATTTGCTGCATTACATTGTTTACAACAGATAGGAAAATTAATTATAATTATTAATTTGCAATAAAAGATCAATTAGAGCTTTTTTGAAAGTATTTATCACGTAACTGTCAAATTTTTTTCCTATGTGTGGTTTTTGGAAAGATTTGATTAGAATTATTCTGTAAATCAAATAACCAGTGATATGGATTTCTGCAAGATAACACCTGGTTCAGTAAAATATATGGAAAGTTGATTTCTCGATAGCGTATCAAGACCATTTACTAGAGGGAGACTTTGTACAAAAGTCGATTGCTTAGGTACCTCTGTCCCATTCGTGTTTCTACCGTGAAGCAGTTGTGTTTGCATGACTGTGTTTCGGTTTGAAGGATGGGATATGGCGTGAATTTACAGGGTACAGAGGAATAACACCTGAGTCCTCAGGAATGGCAACGCGTGGGGGGTATCATGGGCGAAACAGTATACTCTGTTATGTCCATGTTGCTCATATTTATAGGCGACGGTTACCACTTTCCATCAGGTGGGCCGTTAGATTGTTTGCCATTCTAAGTTGTATAAAAAAATCACGTAAAAAACATTGCACCAAATTGGATGCGATTTTCCAAGTTCTATTTCTGAAGGTCTAACTTAAAAACTGATGTATTTTTTCTTGATATGCCATTTAGAAGACGTATGTTCATTTTCAAACATCCAGACGTATTTACGACCATTGTAGTAAATAATAACTAAGTTAGTAAGTTGTTAGTTTAATTTTAAAACGCTAGCTGAGTTTAAGAACAAGAAATTTCCAAACTGTGGGATGATTGACATTATAAAGTAGTTTAAAAAATATACCAACATAAATATGTAAACTATTACTTCTTATATTTTAACACATGGGACATGCTAGTTTCTAAAATATACAAACCGCACAAAAATAGCATTCGTCTAATGCTGTTTACAAAATGTTCAATATTTTATAAACAAAATTTTAATTGTTACTTAAACCGTCGCGCCTCACATTCATACTTATCGTTCGGTCTCGCTCTAAAAGGAAACTGGGTTCACCAGGAGACGATAAAATAAGTTTTTTATAGATGAAGTCGCGTCGTAAAAACGTAAGTAGTAATTTCTATGTTAAATGGATATAAATAGATTTTTTTCGATACATTAAATTAGTATTCGATATTTGATTTTAGATTTTCTTTAGAAGTTCCTTATTGAATATTAACAAATGTATTTTTTTAATGGATGACAATGGAATGGTTACCCCGCCTGCGCTAACGGTACCCACTGGTGGGGTACCAGTGAGAGATGATAGATGATGAAACAGGTCAGTTGGCCCATCGTGACGAATTCAACAATAAATCAATCACAATGATTTCCAGGGGGAACCGCGTGGAGGTCGACTTGACAGGATATATTGCTAGCAGTGGGACTAAAAATAATTGTAGTAAGTGGGTAAATAATTTAAAAAGTAAAATTGATAACAGTAACATATTTGTAGGTATATTTAAAAAAAAAAGTTATATAGTCCATATTCTTGTCATTTATAAATTGAAGTGTAAAAGAAGGCACTGTTTAATTGATTAAATTTTCCTTCGTGTCTATGATATGATCGTAGTTAATTAGAAGCGTCTCCATATCTTTACTAATATAAATATGAAAGTGAGTTTGTTCGTTACCTTACAGGCCCTTAACGGCTTAACAAATCCGTATGAAATTTGGTATATGCGTATTATACGGGATAGAGAAGATTATGGGCTATTTTATTTCGGTCACACGTACGAAGTCGTGGATAAAAGCTAGTAATTGTATAAATTTTGCTCTCCTATTAATTATATAACTACAATTATGGATGCGTAACATATAGCAATATTTTTATATTATAGCTTTGCTTGGGTACCTCTGTCCCATTCGTGTTTCAACCGTGAAGCAGTTGTGTTTGCATGGCTGTGTTTCGGTTTGAACGGTGGGATATGGCGTGAATTTACAGGGTACAGAGAAATAACACCTGAGTCCTCAGGAATGACAACGCATGGGGGGTTTCAAAGGGCAGTATACTCTGTTATGTCCATGGTACTGCTCATGTCTATAGGCGACCACTGCTCATGTCTATAGGTTACCACTTTCAATCAGGTGGGCCGTAAGCTTGTTTGCCGTTCTATGTTGTATAAAATAAATACAATATCTATATATTGGCCGAAATAACAAATATGTTAAATCTCGGTTATCTAATATATAATATCGAAATGAAGAACCCAATTGAAATGAATACAAATAACTAATTTTTCCCGCCGTCAATGTTCATAGAAACCAAACAAATATAGATATCGGAGCGACTCTAATATTACCTATCCCTACAGTTGAATATTTATATTGAGGTATGTGGATAGATTCTATAATAACTGTTTTCTTCGAATTTAGCAATATAAGCCAATGTAATGTATGTGTTATTGAATTATACTCGTATTGTATGTATTAAGAAATGAACAAAAGTTTACCCTACGGAATTGATTTTGGAACCAAATGACGTTAAAATCACGGATGATATGCTTACAAAGTAGCATAATTTCGATTTTTGATTATGATTTCCGTGTACGAGTATAAGTCCAATTACTCTGTTCTTTCAAGTCCAATTTCTTACAAACAAAATTTAAATCTGCAATTTTATAACTACGTTTTATGGTATACCCCCAGACTGCGCAAGCAGTACGGCATATTTTGACGCCTCTACAAAGCTACGCCTCTGTGGTCTCTGGGCATAGCTGTTACTAATGTACGGACTGATTTAATAGTAAGATTTCCAACTGTGGTGTGCTAAAGAAAGTTACCAATTACTTGGAGATTGAACACCGACGGAAATCGAGTGAAGCGGTGCGTTAAATGTGACATAGTAAAAATTTTCTTTTGCGGCGCTACTGGAAACGCATTTCACTTTTTCATGTAATAAATATAATCTTCGAGTGTTATATTTTTTATTGTGTTATACTAGATGTAAACATACAGCTTTGATTGTGAGATTTAAAATAAAAAAAAAAAATAAAAAAAAAACTTTATATATTCTTAAGGATAGTCGGACCTTTATACTAAATACCTGATTTCGTTCAGTCAATTAATCATGATTGAATAATAAATATCTAAACAATAGGATCTAACAGCCCCATTGCTAGTAATATATTCTTATCCGGTTGATTTCCACGCGGTTCTTCCTGGAAACTATCGTGGTTGAGTCTTGTAAAATTCG